AGCAGGCCTGTTGGGACGCCTGGGTGGCTCAGTCGTTAAGCGTCTGCCTTTGGCTCAGGTCATGGTCCCAGGGTCCTGGGATCGAGCCCCGCGTCGGGCTCCCTGCTCGGCGGGAAGCCTGCTTCTCCCTCTCCCACCGCCCCCGCCCCCCCGGCTGTGTTCCCTCTCTCGCTGTCTCTGTCAAATACATAAAATGTTTTAAAAAAAAAAACAAAGAAAGAAAGCAGGCCTGCCTGCTCCCCACTATTTCTGCCCCCAGATCCTTCCTTCTCACCCAACATGTGGCCTGGGTGAGTGCCTCCCCCTGCCAACCCCCGGGGGGAAACGAGGGGGCCTGTTCTGCTCCTCCGCCCTGGACCACCCAACCCAGGAGGTCAGCCCTGGGATTACGGCCCTGGCCCCGCGACCAGCCCCGAGCAGCTGGTCACAGTGGACAGTGTGACCGTCAGACGGCAGACCCCAGACAGGCCCGTCATCCAGCCCTCCAAAACGTGGCATGGGCCCCCAGGCATCCCGCATGGCCACGGACTCCATGCTGCTCACTGAAGGGCGCCGGCGCATCCTGCCAGCCTGCTCTCCCCAGAAATGCCTCAGAGCTTCATCCGAGGCAGAAGTAGGGCAGCCACGGGAGGGAGGAGTCCGTTGTCTGGAGACAAAGGGTGCGGGGGCCACAGGAGCCGCCGGGGGTGGGGGGCTGCGGAAGGCTTTCTTCCCAGGAGGCAGGAAAGGGGCTGTGGGCCTGGAGGCGGATGGCACAGAAACCCGCTTTGGGGCTGACTCACACGAGGGGCGCGGCCGCCGTGCCCTACATCCAGAGCCCCGCGGCCTTTGTCGGCCACTTCTCCTGCGGGGTGCTAGGCTGTGGTGCCTGGGATTTTTCTGGTTTCTTCCCACCAGCCGCCCACCCTGACTGGCTCCCCGCCACGGCCCTGACCCCCCACAGCGGCCCCTTCCCAGCTCTCTGCCCACATCTATGCCCACCTGCGGGCTGCTGGGCTACTCTCCCTGGTCTTCAGAGGACCCGAAGAGGACAGGACAGTGCCCCTCCTCCCTCCGTGGCCCTGGGCCCCCGGCTCTGCGCGACAGACACCTGATCCGCCCTCATCCCCGCCCCTCCCTCACGACCCCACCAGTGCAGCCTCCTCATTGCTGGGACATCTTTCCAAGCCCTCCTATGGCCCTCACCTCCCCAGGAGTGAGGCCTCGGGCCCCTGCATGGCCTTCAGGGACATGTGTGATGTGGCCCCCACCTGACCTCCAGCCCTGGCCGGACCGGCCCCCCGCCCACCGGCCCACCTGCCCGCCATCCTGCCCTGGAGCTTGCTGTTTGCTCCCGGGCCCACCCCAGTGCCCTGTTCCCACCTGGCAGACCCAGGAGCTCCCAACGTCTCTTCCCACCTTCCCACCCGCTGCCCCTCTCTGAGCCTCGGGCATCCTAAAGCTCCGGCCTGAGCACGAGGCGCAAGCCGCCTGGGGGCCCCGCTGCTGCAGGTGGGTGACAGGCCCAGCTCAGGCCCCCCGCACACGCCGCTCCCGCGTGTCTCCTCTGCCTGTGAACACGGCGCCTTCCGAGCTCCCGGCTCCCTCTGCAGCCTGCAGTACCCCAGGCCCCAAGCGACTGTGGACAGAGAGGCCCCCAGGCAGACAGGGAGGGCTCCGGGGACTGCCCTGGGCGCTGGAGGAAACCGAGACCAGGTCTGCGAAGCTGGCTGGGGGCTGAGAGCGGTGAGGACCCAGGAGCCCCTGATCCAGCCCATCAGAGGCGTGGGCACCTCCCACGTAACCTGCCTGCTGGGCTCCTTCTGTGGGCTGCCTCCTCCTTTCTGTCCCTGTCCCCAAGACTGCCTTGCTTTTGCAGCCTCCCCCAGCTGCGCTCCTTCTTGGGCTTCCAAGTTGCTAGAAGTTGCTGATGTCATGAGGACCTGAGCCATAGGCAGTGGGGAACGCAGAGCAGGGACAGCATCTTCCCCCCCCACCAACCCAATCCAGACCCGCACCAGACCCGCACCAGCCCTGGCTTGTGGCCCAAGTGCAGCAAATGGCAATCCCACTGGCCTGGCAGCCAAGCGGCTGGATGAGACACAGGCAAGCCCGTCTTCCCAGGCTAACCACGGACAGGCAGAGGCCTGGAGGACAAAAGTGCCCGGAGCCTCAGACTTAGGGGCAGAGCAACGAGCCAGCCGGGTCCCCCAGCGCTCCCCACGAAGATGTCACAGATGGCAGGGCAGGCAGGCAGCCCCTGCTCCCGCCTGGACCCAGAGTGCATCTGCTCGTGGCCCCCCAGCCCTTGGGGTCTTACCTAGGAAGGTCCCAGTGAAGCCCAGTGCGAAGAAGCTGGAGAGCACAAACGTGCTGCCCACTCCCAGGAGCACGAGGCCCATGCGGTAGGCCGTGGGGTTATCCAGGCTCTCCATCTTGGGCTGGCTCAGCATGGCCTGTGTGAAGCTGGCGGGGGGGGGGGGGGGTGTCAGACGATCATTGCCATGGACAGGGGCTGCCCTACCCTCCCCCTTCCCACCCTCTGTCCCCCGGGGGACCCCCAGAACAGCCCGTCCAGGGGTCTCAAACTCAGTGTCAACTGGGGCCAGGCAGGCGGTGCCAACGAGCGAAGTTGGCTGCCGGTGGGGTGCAGGGGACCTGGAGGGCACGGCCCTGCCTGAGGGGAGCTGCCCTGCAGTGCCAGCCCCCCAGTGCCACCAGGGAAGTGACCGCAATGAGGGGCCTGGGCCCTGCTAACGTTTTTGGTTTTCGAGAAGCCAGACATCAGGACTTGTATTTAAAATCCCCTAATGATTAGAAACAGGCAAGAAGGACAACCACGTTAGACTTCGCGTGGCCGTGGGCCAGATCCAGCCCAGGGGCCACCAGTTTGCAAACTCTGATTCCTGTCCAGTTAGCAACTGGGACTTCACAGGAAAATGTGGCTCCAAAAGGAACAGATGCATGCCCCTGGCTGCGCCCGTGCGCCCCTGCACTTGGCATATGCTGCACGTGCTGGTGGCATCCCAGGCCCCTGGCGGATGCAGTGCCCCCCGGAAGCCTGGGGCATGCCCACCCCTTCCACGGCCTCCATGGTCCCTGCGCTGGGCTGGCCACATCCTAGGTGGCCCCTCAGAGGCTCCCTATGTCTTCCCCAAGCTCCAAAATGGCCCCAGCAAGCTCCTTTTGGGGCCAAGCCATCGAAGGCCTTGTTAACCAGCAAGTGACAAAAGCAGGGTGAGCATGCTCGTGGGTTTGGAGGTTCAGGTTCTCCGAGTGGCTACCGAAGATGGGAAGGCATGCTGCTGGCGGGGGGGGGGGCAAAGCGGCTGGGCTCGTGGTAACGCACAGGAGCATGTTCGGGCTCTGCCTCGCTAGTGGGGAGCTGGTACTGCTGGGAGGGACACGCTCAAAGGAGAGGATGTGTGTGGGAGCAAGTGCATGCGTGTACCACAAACACACTTGCCATTTCCCCACGATCGTAACACTCAGAAGAGACATGGAGCTCTTCTGTCTCGCACAGGACAACTGCTTGCACTCACTCTGTACCAGGTTCGTCTTAGCAGGGCAGCTCACTGTCTACCTACCCACCCGCACAGCCATCTGCCTGTCTAGCCTCTATCCATCCACTCTTCCATCCATCCGCCTACCCATCCATGAGTCTATCCTTTATCCATCTATCACCCATCCATTAGCCTATCTTCTGTCCACCCATCCACCCATCCCTCCACCATCTCCCCCCTCCCCATCCATGAGTCTATCCTCCATCCATCCTTCCATCCATCCATCCATCCACCCATCCTTCCATCATCCACCCATCCATCAGTCTATCCTCTATCTATCCATCCATCCATCCACCCATCCATCTATCCTCTGTCCATCTATCCATCCATCCATCCACCTACCCACCCATTAGTCTATCCCCTGTGTATCCATCACTCATCATTCCATCCATCAACCTATCAATCTACCCACCTACCCATCCATCCATCCACCCATCCATCTATCCTCTGTCCATCTATCCATCCATCCATACACCTACCCACCCATTAGTCTATCCCCTATGTATCCATCCTTCCACTCATCATTCCATCCATCAACCTATCAATCTATCCACCTACCCGTCCATCCATGCATCCATCCACCCATGTATCCATCCATCAGCTATCCTATATCCATCCATCCATCCATCACAAAGTACCTCTATTTGCAAGGCTCTTTCAAGCAGAACAAATTCACCATCCTCACTCATTCATTCCATTGGCAAATTCAAATTGTTGTAAGGCTATCCTAATACTGAGCTAAAACCCACCTCCCCGGAACGTTCTTCTCCAACTACTTTTAGCTCTGGGAGAACAGAGGCTGCTTCTCCTTCCCTCAAGTATCTCCCCAGCATCTGGCACACACCAGACAGGATGGGTTATAGTACATATTCATCAACTGGAGGAAAAGCAGCGCCCCCACATCCACTGCCTTACCCTCGGCCTGTGGGCAGAGGCCAGCACGGTGACCTGTCCAGCAGCAGCACATGTCAAGGTACACCCAGCCACCGGTCAGGCTGCCCACACCCCCAGCTCTCCGCCCACCACTGACCTCCTTCAGCCTTCCTGCGGCCCGGGCTCAGGGACACCCTGCAGATCCAGGCTGAGCTGCTGGGATGGACTCAGGGTCATGCACACCCTGCCGTTGTACCTGCCCACACCCACACCCATGCCCCACCCCTCTATGCCCTCACCTGACTTTCTGGTAAACCACCGGCCCTCACGCACGGGGCAGCCCCGTGACCCAGGCACACCTTCAACCCTGCAGACCCAGCAGCTCAGGCCCCAGAGCAGGCGGCTTCAGCACTCGGCCGGGGCACCCTCCCCACCTCTACTGTCTGTAGTAGGGTGCAGGCCCTGGCAAGGCCGGCTGCCCCACCCAGAGCGGGGCTCACCTGCAGGCCCCTGGCTCCTTGGCAACCGCGGCACAAGGGACCACCCAGCAGAGAGAGAACGTGTATAGGGGGTGGGCGGGGGTGATGCTCGGGCCTCCGTGCTCTTGTGCACTGGGGAACCCACCCCCTGCCTGGCTCTTGGGCTCTACCTCCCTCAACATAGCTCTGGGACCTGCTCCTCCCTGCCTGGGCCGACCCCTGGCCCCCAAATCTAGGGAAATGAGGCACGGTGGGCACCCTCTGGCCAGCACAGCATACCCACCTGCCTCGAGTGCTCTGGGGGGCCCCTCAGGGCGGCCCACTGAAAGGCCTCCTGGCAGAAGAGCAGCATGGATGTTCAAACAGACATGGGTGCCCGGAGCCTTGGTTTCTGCCTCTGTGTGACAGTGACGGTAGCCCACGTGGCCCTGTGCGGAGCCGTGGCCAATGGCTGTGCCCACTCCGGTAAGCACGGAACACGTCAGGCTCTGCCTGTGGGGCTTGCGCACAGCGGGAAGGACAGAGGTGTGCAGGCAGGGTGACACCGTGTGGTGGAGCACCGCTCGCAACACGACGGCCACACGGGGCGGGGGCCCAGAAGGCCACCGCCAGGCTTAAGCTGGGATCCGATGAAGACATTCCCCAGGAGAAGGGGCTGGGCAGGGAGAGCATTCCAGAAAGAGGAAGAGCCCTGGCAGAGGCTGGGGACAGAGCCCAGCACAGGAGGCCGGGGCGCAAGCAGCCTGCGGCAGAGCCCTCGCCCTGGGGTCGTTGGCCCCGTGCGTGTGCGTGTGCGTGTGTGCCTGTGTGCACACGCGCGTGCACGCTGAGTGGGAAGTCACTGCTGCGGGGGCGCAGAGCGGGAGAGCGTCCAGCGCCCGGGGCCGGGGCGCTGAGCCCAGCCACAGCCCCGACGGGACCAGATCCGGGGTCAGAGAGCAGCCGGCCTCCGTGGCACGCTCCTCTGCCAGAATTCTCTCCCATCATCCAAGAAGCAGGCAAGTCGCCCGACCCTGAGTGCGCACGGCATGGCGGCAGATGAAAATGGGAAAGGTCTCGCTCTGACCTCTGGCGTGCGGGAAACAGCTTCCCAGGGGGACAGGCTTGCAGTGAAAGCCATCTGGTTGGAAGCAGATGGAGATTCCTTAGAAAGGGTGGATCTAGGGCCAGTGATGGCAAGGAGAAGGCCCTGAAGTGTGGAGGACGGCCCCAGACTCGACCCGGGCCTCCATCCACCTGTGACTCCTTTTCTATGCCTTCGCCAATGGGAAGAGAGGAAGGGAGAGACCGAGGGGAAGCACTTTCCCACTGGCCACAAAGCCCGACGGGGCTGCTGTCTGGGGTCAGCAGAGAAGGCAGGCCAGGCCCTTCCCGGGGGTTCTGTTCCGACGCCCTGTGCACCGCCTGGCCCCACAGGCGTCAGGGTTCCTGGAATGGCAGGGCCCGGCCCCAATCAGGTGATCTGTGGTGTTCTAGCTCCTCCATTAAGCCAGGAAGGCACAGTCCATTCCCCACGGAAAATTAATGGAGGGATGAGTGGCTCTGTGAGCCACGCTCCCCATAATAGAATGAAGTAATAGGAGGCAATTTCCTTTGGAAAGATTCCGCACTGGGGGTGGGCGTGGAGAGACTCATCCATTTGTCTCGAGTTCTATTTTTAAAACTGGGATTGAGCTTTCGGTCACCAGTATGACTTGAGGCTGTCTGCGCTCTGCTCCCCTGAAATCCGGGAACCCAGGGTGGAGGGGAGGAGAGGATGTTACAGCCACACCTGAGCCAGGCACCCGGCTCAGCCACGCGTGGTGCCCACAGCCCCACGTGGCACCCACAGCCCCACGACAGGCCTGTTCCCGGGTCTGTCTGCAACGGACCGGCACTGATAAACCTCAGTCCTTCAAAGGCGTCCTCACCAGGTCATCCAGGCGAACCTGAGCAGTGATTCACTTGAGATTCTACCTCTCAGGCTTAGGTTAGCTCACGCCTCATGGTTCAACCCAACTAGGCAAAACTATCCATGAACATGGGCCTCCAGTGGGCTGACTTATTTTTTCCTAATCCATATTAAAATAGACCTATATGTCCTAAAACGGAACAAAACAAAAATATTCACCTATGTGACCCCCTACAAAATCGTCACCCAGTGAGAATTTAGGGCTAGGATGCTGTACATTGAATGAACGCATCACCTTTTCAAAGTGTTTCCAAAACCCATCACAGCCAAGAGAGGGTCCGTCCCTTCCCCAAGGCAAAGCCCTGATGCCCGCAGGACCTGCAGAGTTAAGGCTGACCCCACCCGTGCTTCCTGCTCCCTCCGCCTGGATCTCCCTCCCACTGTGGGGCAGGCAGACCTCTGTGGGGCTCCAGAGCCCAGGCCCGCAGAATCCCTCCCCCTGGGTGTGGGCTGCCCTGCGAACACAGGTGAGGGCATTTCCAGATGTAATTACAGCTCATCGAAAAGGAGATTTACAGTGGCCAGATGGGGATGGACTGGAGGAACCTTTCAAAGAGGGTCTGGGGGCCAGAGAGAAGTCAGAGAGCCTTTCTCCCGCTG